ATGGACACCTAACATAAAAAATGTCATCAAAAAAATACAACAAAGAATGTTCTTTCTGTGCCAACTCTGAAAGCTCAGACTGCCCAAGGAGCTGCTGATACAGTTCTACAAAGGAATTATTGAGTCTGTCATTTGCACCTCTATAACTGTCTGGTTTGGCACTGCTACCAAACAAGACAGACATGGATAGTTAGAAATGCAGAAAAAAAACAATTGCTACAGCCTGCCTTCCATTGAGGACCTGTATACTGCATGAGCCTGAAAGAGGGCTGTGAAAATATCAACAGACCCCTCGCATCCTGGACATAAACTGTTTTAACTTCTTCCCTCAAGACAACACTATAGGGCATTGCACGCCAGAACAACTAGACGCAAGGACAGTTCCCCCCCCCATGCCATCACTCTGCTAAACAACTAATTCCCACAGCACTGTCAAACTACCTAGTAAGGCTGTATTACTATTATTCTACTCATTTTTCCTATTACCTATCTCCTTACCTTCTTATGACTATAACCTGTTGCTTGTATCTTACGATTTATATTGTTTTATTTAGTATCCTAGTGTGATTTATGTTGTTTGCATATTTAGTATCCTATGACTATCACTGTGTTGTATCTTATGATTTATGATGAATGTATTTTTATGATGATTATGATCATGATTTATCACTTGTTGCTGGTAGGTACACTGAGTGCTTACGCACTGGAGACAAATTCCTTGTGTGTCCAGTCACACTTGGCCAATAAAGTATTCTGTTCTGTTCTGTTCTGTTCTAATGTATGATTGGAAGGAGATGTTTTCTTTTCCAAAGAGAGAAGAATGCATTTTAATCACAAGAAAGTAACAAAGACACCATTTCAACTTTCTTCTGTATGCATTTTTACAATGAGTAATGAATATATGTCCAAATGCTAACATATCCCTGCATTTTTAAAATATATAGCCTTCTAAAATGGTTTCATCTAATAAGTGCAAACAATCAGCATGAGGAAAATGGGACTCAGGCTCTAAAAACAATAATGTATTGCTCTATCTAACCACAACCAAGGAAGTACCTGCTAAGATTGCAGTGGAGAAAAAAGGCAACTGAATGGCAGTGAATGTTCATTTATAGTTTTCCAGAAAACACTCATTAACTCTTAAGTGGGTTTACCCTAAGGAAACATTACAGAGAATATTTTCAGCATTAAAGACAAAGAACAGCTATGACTCCAAAGAATGCCCAGTTTACCACTTCTTAAAAGGTGCTAAACCAGAATGTTTCTTTTTAGTACAAAGGAGATGTTTTAATCACACAAACTTCATATTTGTTAATACTATTGTTTTTTTACCTTTAGACAGATAAAAGTGGTTCTAAAGACACAATAAAGGCTTTCATTGTCTCATCTTTAACTTTTCACATATTACTTATGGCTTCATGTTGAAAATCAAGCCCCAGATCTCAGATTGATAGACCAGGACACTGCCAAAGTAAGCAAGCTGATTATTGGCAATGTATCTATCTGATTTGGGCAATTGTAATGAGCAGTTTTTGTGAGGCCATGAATAGTTTTTTATTTGTCATGAAAAACCTAAAAACTCATTATTGGCAAACAAATTAATTAAACAAATTCATTGTTTAATTAAATAGGCATCAGTTTCCTCCTGTATTTTTTAACATAAGAACATATCAAGATCAGCACCTCTGCATAGTCATCCACTGTCTTGTTATTTAATGATCTTAAGTATTAAATTGTACTTGAACTACCTTAAGTGGGACTAGAAAATATCGCTACAATTTCTTGGGACATCAGTTTCTCTAGTGTTTGATTTTGAAGGCTAAATCCCAATAGCATATGAAGCCTTAGTTAATTGTGTGTTTTTTTTTCAAACCAGTTTTCCAGTTTATCATGAATCATTGAAACTTTAGCTAGATACATTGGTTGGATTTAAACATGTAAGAGTAAAGTATGATTGGCTAGTTATGATTCAGCATGCCATGCAAGCATGTTTTTCAGATATTAGATCTTTAATTAAAAAAATACTGAGATACCGATCCCTTAAAATGTTTAAGATTTCAATGGCTGGGTATGACTAAAGCATGAATGCCTTTGTTGAAAACCACCATCATAACAAAGATTACTGGATAAACCAAAGATTTTAGGTGCCAAAAATTGGATTTGGCTAATCCACAGATGGGCTTATCTGCACAGATATACAGTAGATCTTTCCCTCAGCTTTTTAAAAAGTATTCTCAAACTTTTTAACCAAAATACCATAAAAATGTGCCATACACAGATAAACCAATAGCAAACATTAAAACAATACAAAAAAAAATTTCAAGGTTTGGCTTCCCTCCGGATGGATGAGTATATACAATACTACTTTTTAAAAGTAGCAAAGCTATTTACAGAGGGTGGGATCATGATACCACAACTGAGATTTAATAAATGTTACATGCAGAAAGCCCCTTTTTTTGAACCATATCAGGGGGGTTTCCCCTGAATTTAGGAATGGTACACATAGTTATAGGTATGTACTAAATAAACTAATAATAATAATCTTCTAAGAAGCCATAGTCTCCTTAGAAGTCTTTTAAGAAATCAGGAACGATCTCCTGCAGCAATTCTGGGTTGCTTTCATTTGGCTGTAGCCCTGTTTAGTCCAAATTACAGTTGTAAAAGTTTCTGATTTCAAAACTACTCTGTTTATACTATGTAACATGACCAAAAGAGTCTCGACGAAGTGTGAACTTTAGTGAGTAATCTACATAAACTGAAAACACACTTGGAATGTGACCTAGGACCCTTTCTAGCTTTGTCTGATGCAGAACTTTGTATTTCCAACACTGCTGAAGCCATGGGCCAAATAATGCTGGAAACACATAGTCTATATTCACTGTAATGTAATTTGAACCCCCATCTTACGGATATAAAATGTGTTGTCACATTATTGAAATGCCAAGCAACAACTGATTGCAGGTTTATCTGCCATGTACTGTAGAAGACCTTTGCTCTATGGGATATCCCATTTAAATAAATAAGTAGAATCAAAGTGTCATTAATTAGGTTGTTCGTGAAACTCATCCTATTCATACATGCCTCAAATTAGCACTTACAGTATTTTGGAACGCTGGATGAAAAAAATATTTTTCTTCTCATTAATGCTAGCTTTCCAAATATTTGTCAGTTTGTATTTTGCCTTCTCTGTAATATGAAACTAATGTTTAACTTGTTTAAAGATAGAAGGAAGCAGTTAAGAATCAAAGTACAAACACATACTACTTGCAGATGCTCTGTATTATGCCATAAAAACCGAGCTATGAGAGAACAATTTGAAGTGGAGAATTGGTAAGTAGAGAAAGCACTAAGTACTGTTATTTTCTCCGTAACAATTGTGATATTCCTAAATGCTAAGCATTTCAAGCAGCAGTTAAGCACTTAGTAAAACAATTTTGTATTACTGTGTAGCAAAATCAATTGCATAATATATTAATGGCAAAAAATCACAATTACAAACAAGCCAATTGAGGGGCCTGTAGTCACAGTAGCTGCACAGTTCTTTATCTTCCTCCACCAATTTTTAAATGTGCAGAACTAGAGCTCCCACTTACCTGAATATCCAGATAAGAAGTTTCTTCTGTAATTCTGATAGTTCCAATAAGTTTTCTTCAAAATACATTGGATGAGTGTTCTGACTTAGGTATGATGTGAGCTTTTGCTATTGTTTTAAGTGTAACTTTTAATTCTCTCTTGTGATGCTACCAACAGCTTGGGCTTCAGCAACAGCTGGTTCCTACAGATGTCAGCTTTAGCCAATCCTCTGTACCTTTACTTGAAAGTAAGTCACATTGAGATAACTGAGGTGCCCTTCAACTAAAGCACACAACTCTAAATTCAACTAATTAATGTAAATGGGGTTGTGTTGAGGAGGCAATTCTCATAGTGCAGGGGTGTCAAACTGCCGGTCCGCAGACCGGAGGCATCATAGCAAAACCGCGCCCACCCCATTGCCGACAATGGAGAAAAAGTCTCGATACGTCACGACACATCATGTGACATTGTGAGTTTGACACTCCTGTCATAGTGGAACTATTTAGAACTGTGGCTTATGCTTGCTTGCTCTCTTACATACTCTTTCCCCTATTACAGGCTGTCAACACCACCAAGATTTCTTATTTTGCATGATATTATCCTGAATTAAAGTTACCATCTCCAGCATTATAAAACATGCCTAACTCTAGAAAGTACCATTACTGCTTTCCAAATGGCCATCATAAGCCTGATGGATACTGTTGATCAGGTGTAGAACACAAGTGAGAGGGGGAAAAGCAAATGGTTTATTAACCAAAGTCACTTCTCTAATCTTAATACTTTTCAATAATTTAGTGCACATCAAGTGGTCAAAGTACTTCTCAAATATTATCTCAGCAATGCTTGCAATTGCTTAGTAAAGTTTTATCTCTGTATTTCACTTTGGTGGCCAAGGAGAAGATAGTGACAATTGGGGTATCCTAGTGAGCTAGAAATGGGCGACTGCCAATTACTAGTTCTGTCTATCAAGGAGTCCCTATACAGAACCAAGTTGGTTTCTTCTTTTTTTTTTTTAAAAAAAGAGGCAAATAGACATTTGAGCCAATCAGAAATCCTTCACCCTCTTTTATAGCAAAGACATATACAAACAACTTTGGGTGTTCAGAGAGAAATGTTAGAGGAGATACTTAATATCTTAATGATATGGGAGGGGCTATATACAGAGATGTTAACCTGCACAAAATCTTTAAAAGGTGAAGTGTATAATCTGAAACCTATCTCTAATACTAGTACAAAAAAAAGGCAGTGGCCAAAAAGGCAACTAAATAAATAAAAAGTTAACTACGGCTCCCCCTCAAATAAAACTTGCATTCCTATTGTTCTACAGTGTTAGATCAGGATGGCTGATGGTCATGAATATTTGAAGGCTATAAAATGAACTTTTAATAATGTTCATCTACCAAAAAAAGACAAATGACTGCTTTTGGTTATTAAAAAAAGCTTTTTAATGAATTCCCATTCATCACATTCTTGAAAGTCCCCAAATCTTTCTGAACTTAGTAATGTCAAAGTACTGTACTTAAAAAAAAAAATCCAACCACCAGAAGGGATTTTGTGTCTTTCTCTTCATGCACCCACCTCACATCCAGTAATGTTGATGATTTTGCATAAGCAAATTTCTCCAGTTACTTGTTGATGTGTATAAGCAAATTTCAGGAAAAGAGAAATTTAAACCAACATGATCTGGATTTACTCTGAGTAAAAGAATCACACTCTTCCCTTCCAGGTTTTTATTTTGTATTAGGAAGGTACAGAGCACATTTAATAGGGAACAACTATTAAAAAAAAAATCCAGCTCGTACTTGTGAATGTCTCCAATTTGAATGCATGTCACACATTTAGACTGGCACTTAAAAGATGCTTGTTACTACCATCAGGCACGTCAAATGTGAAAGGCTGGCGGTGTTTCACAGGCAGAGGCAGAATCCGACTTTGCTACAAAGGAGCTTCTCTCAGGCGTGCAATTTCCCAAAAAGGGGGCAAAAAGGAGGACCAGGCAGACCCTCCAGTCACCCCCCTTTTCCCTTCCGTGCTATTTCCATCGACCCTCCCTAACCCCCCCCCAATAGAAAGAGGGGCTTCGGCGCAGGATCTTTGGCCCCACCGACGGCGCAGCTCCTTCGGTTTTTGCGGCACCCGGCAGCTGCGGGGCGCGGGAAAAAGGCGCGCAGGGTCTTCAGCTGCCTCTGGTCCAGGGATCCGGTTCCGCGTGGCCCCTGCCCGTCCCGGTGGCCAAGCTGGTGACAGGCAGGACCAGGGGCTGCTGGGGCCGCATGGATTCCTCGTAAGTGGGCAAATATTTCACTTCTTCGTAGCTGGGCAGCTGCAAAAAGACGGGCGAGACAACGTGCAGGAGAGGGGGCGGCAGGGAGGACTCCCGGCCCCCGCTTTCCAGCAGAGAGTCCTGCGAGGTGGCGGCCGTCCCGTTCAGCGGGGTAACGCGGCAAAACGAGTCCCGCTCTTCCGCGTCGTCATCGTCATCGTCGTAATCCGCCTCCTCCTCCTCCTCTTCCTCCTCTTCGCCCCGTTGTCCCGGGCGCCGCCGCCGCCGCCGCCCGTGCCTGCGGGGGCTGGGGCAGATGATCCGCTGCAGGAAATAGCCGATGGCGAAGAGCACCAGCAAGATGAGCAGCCCGGAGAGCTTCCGCACGAACCAACCCACGTTGTCCAGGAACGTGTGGAAAGGCAGCTTGCAGCACTTGGTCTCCGCGTAGCTGGCGTTGCCGTAGCTGCAGCAGCTCTCCTGCGCGCCGCATTTCTCCTCGCCGCAGCTGCCTTGGCACGGCTGCCACAGCAAAACGGCGCCCAGCACCAGCAATCCCGGGGGGAGGCTGCCACCCGTCATCTCCCCCCTCCTCAGGGAAGAGGAGGAGAGCGGCGCTCGCTCCGGCCCGCCACCATGGCCCGTCGCCTCCGCGCTCGCTTCCCCTCCGGCTTCGCAAACTCGCCTCCCGGGCGTGCAACTCCAAGCCTGGGAAAAGGAGGGGGTGGGGTGTTTTGGCAGCTGCGAAAGGAACCCCTCTCCCCCCCCCCACTTCCTCGCCTTCAAGCAGGATCGCCTTTACTCCATCAGCCGAAATCTCGGACGCGGCGAGGCTGAGCAGGGCTTGCTCGCAAGGACGGGCGGCGAGGCGGGAAACGCGGACATGTTGCGCGCGGATGTCTGCGCAGGGGTTAACGGGACCGATCCGCTTGGTCTTTGCAGCGCTTTAATCTTTATTAATACAGCTGTCGTCTTCTCCTCTCGTCAACGCTCGCTCCCCTTCGCTCGGATTGAGTGCCTCTGCTTAAGTGATTGGATTTCCTTGTGAGCGTTATTTAAATTTACTTGCTTCTGAGGCTGGCTTTCCATATTTCTGATTAAAAATTGATGATCATCATTTGGCGGATGTTAATAGGCTTAATGCAACTCCTTTTCCATTAGAAAGGTTGTGGGGTTGTTTTTTTTTCCTTCCTCACTTTTCTGTTCTGGCTGCGTCTTTGCTTGCCAAGAGATGGTAGTGATTCTTCTTTCCTAGAGAATATGACCCACTAGAATAGCCACCATGGGGAAACAATCCAAGGCCAGAAGGAGATTCAGCAAACAAAGTTTAGAAATCCAGCAGATGAAAAAGGCAAAACAGCTTTTCCCAACCTCATATCTCCAGATCTAGTGTGATAGATCTAGATGTTGAGTTAGGGAGCTGGTTGGAAGTAACAAAAGAGTAGTGATCTTTTCACAGTAGAGCAACCTGAACAGTTAACAGTTAACTGAATCACAGTTCATTGAATTACCTAGATTTGCAGAAAATGCTGAGCCACCAACTAGCCCATCACATTTCCATTTGCCATACTGATTCATTAGTGTTCATAGAGCATCAATAACAGTGAGGTGTTTTGGGTTAACACACTTAACAAATTTTGTGATCCCAGCTAATTGTGGCTGATTGATCAACATGGAATTGATTTTGAGAGGTCCTCTGAGCTTGGTTGATTTCTTGCAGATGTTTGATTACCCAAACTAGGTAACATCATGATGTTACCTAGTTTGGGTAATAAAACGTCAGCAAGAGAACAACCAAGCTCAAGACACCACCACGGATTTTTCATTTCAACCCTGAGCTACAAATATTCTCCGCTGTTGGAAAGCATATTTTACTGTGCAAACTCTTGCTGGAGGAAGACTGGGAAACTCTTGCAAACTTAACTGGAAGAAAATAGGGAAGGAGTAATAGGGTAACTAATGAAAATAGTTTAATAAATTATAAGCATTATTTCTAGTTATGACTTCCTTCATTTTAGACAGCTGGGCCACACAAGCTGGAGTCTAAAGCTTCTGCAGACCCCAGGATGGGGAAAACTCTTCTGAGCTCAGCATATCATTTTATTAGGATAAAATCTATCTAGAGAAGTTGTATAATTTGATGTAGATTTTAAACAAAAGATGGCATTGTATGGTTTGCAGTAGGTAGGGCTCATGAAGGTTATTAAAACGAGAAGTAAGGGAAGGGTTTTTTTTTCCTTACAACAATGTCCCATCTTTCCACATGAAAACTGATCTCCAGGAAATTACAAATTAAAAGTCTGATTTCCTTTTTTATTTTCTTCCTTCCTTTCATCTTCAAATTTGAGCATAGAAAGAGATCTGAAAAAAGGCAACCAACTTTCAAATTTTGCTTTCTTTTGTTAACTTGCTTGGGCCTTACAGTTAGTTCTTAGCAAAACAGATGGTGGTAAAAAAAAAAAAAAATGTAACACATTCTAAAATGCTCGATTTTCTGCCTTATTTTCTACCTGAATCTCCCTCTCCTGCGAAGTACTAATTTAAAAGGCACTTATGGCCAAAAAGATGTAAAGTGATATTTTTAAGAAAAATCAATTTGTTGCATCACAGGCAAGAGTGAAATTGAAATAAGCCCAAATGTATGGCAGTTCCAAAAGACTGAACAGAAATAAGATGTTATTTTAAAGAAGGCTTTTCTTTAATGAATGCACAAATCTAGTTACTAGCAGTGGAGAGAAGCAAGATAACTTGTAGGCCATTCAGAAGAACTCCTATTCACTTGCTTCTGGAACCTATTTGCAAAACTCTTCACTGTTAGTCCCATGGTCGTTTATTCAGTCAATTCTATCCATTTTCTGGGCCTTATCCACACACTTGTCTTTCCTCAGCACAGTGAAAACTTGCTAACTATGTTGAGGACAAATCTCAGTAATAGGGTCTTTCTCTCAGTGCCTATGATATTTTTCCGTTGAAAACTCAATGCAGCTTCCTATGTGGAATGTTCGGATCCACAAGGAAGAACCTGATTGAAGTTGGTCATCTACAGAGCTCCATTTGGCAAACTGCAGGATTGTTTCCTTCCATCTGGCCAGAGGGCTGTGTGCTTCCAGGCCAATTCTGCTTTGGCTCCCAGAGGGAACAGAAAGTCTTTAGCAAAGTCATATTTTCTTTCTTTTGAGGCTCAAGTAGGAATAGTACGTTATGGAAAATTTTCCAGTAGGTTGCTATTCCTACCTGTAACCTCCACTGCTTGGCATTCCTCTTCTCTCCTCTTGGCACTTTTTCTGCACGAAAGGAAGAAACTGGCAAGTTGAAAAAAGAGAGAGAGACAGGATCCTTTGCTTTTCCTGCTTCTTCTTTTACAGCTACTCTTTCCTCCAAGCTCTCATCAAAGCATCTCAATTGTTTTGAGGGCACCAAATTTGGTGATCTGTTTTGGAGGCATGCCAAGAAATGAGGTTGGGTAGGCAGTGGTTTCTTAAAATGATAATGGAAAACATCATTGGGCTTGGGAGGGAAAAAGGTTTCAGAAATCTGCAGAAAAAGCAGCTTGATATTTTCTTGAAGTTTCAGATTATAATTCATTTATGTTTGCCTATCTGCCAAATTGAAAGAAACAAGGAATATTGTATTTCAAAACATCTGGAGACTACCAAATTGCCTGTATCGGTAAGGAAAGTGGTTGCCAGTGTCTGTGTAATAAATTAAGTTAAAATATACAATTTGGTTCAGGAGCTTGCTATTGTAAACTGGGAGTTACCAACAGCATATTCTATTTTCACTTGTTACGCTTAACCTCCAGTCTGAAGAACTAAAAAAAAAATGCCCTTGACATTTTGATTAGTCTTTAAAATGAGTTTTCAAGGGATTAAGAAGGCTACATTTTATTTTGGATTATACCAAATTGGCTTTCATTTCCAAATTCTGATTGCTTAAATGACTGTTCCCTTACATCAGAAAATGAAAAATTGGGGATAAACAGCAAGTAGATATGATATGGATTAACTGCTAGTTTGCTTTAGGTTAATTGAGTGGTTCTCAACCTTTCTAATGCCGTGACCCCATAATACAGTTCCCCATGTTGTGGTGACCCCCAACCACTTATACATCACCGGGTGCCAGGGGCGTGGCCAAAGAAAACGGGGAAAAAATGGCGGACAGCCTTGTTTGGCAACCCCCGTGAAATGGTCATTCGACCCCAAATGGGGTCCCGACTCACAGGTTGAGAACCACTGGGTTAATTGATTCATTGCAACTAGTCCCATCCTCTGTAGCTACCATTTTGTGAACTTCATTTTTTTAAAAAATATTTTATTACATTTTATATGGGTAGGGAAAAGGTGGGGTTGGGGCGGGTACAGGGAAATCGGGATAAAGGGGACAGGGTGTGGATAACTACAGTAAATACGTAATTCAGCGAACAAGCTGTCGTCCAGGTCTTCATATTGAGTATTATTGTTTATATAATACTAGACATTTATAAGAATAAATCGGTATAGTTACAACTGACATTTGGTAAAACAGTAATATTCCTTTAAATAATTAACATAACAACTATTTCCAATCATCAAGCTTAATACTTAATATAATAAAGCTCTAAAATCTCTTCTTATTCTAATGTGTTTCAACCCACTGATAAAATTTTCCCCAGGTTTTATAGAAGATTGAATCCTCTTTCTCCTTCATCTCTAATGTTAATCTGTCCATTTCTGCACAATCTAGGATTTTCAAAATTATAATCTGGTCTGATGGTAGGTTTTCATTTTTCCAAAATTGGGCAAATACTACTCTTGCAGCTGTCAATACATGTAATATTAAATAATCATTTTCTTTGCCATAGTTAGGTCTTAATATACCTAACAGGAACAGTTCTGGTTTAAATTCTGTCTGGATTTTCATCATCTTTTCTAAACATCTATGAATCTTAGACCACTATTTTTTTACAATAGAACATGTCCACCAGGCATGATAATAAGTACCCGTTTTTTGCTTACATTGCCAACATGTATCCGATAAATTTTTAAACATTTTCGCTAAGTGAACTGGTGTCATATGCCATCTATAAAACATTTTATATAAGTTTTCTTTGTATGTTACTGCTTTAGTAAGTTTGATATTTTTATCCCACAGTTTTTGCCAGTCTTCTAATTCTATAGAATATCCAAAGTTCTTTGCCCATACTATCATTGTCTCTTTTACTTGTTCTTCTTCCATCTTCCAATTTAATAAGTATTTATAAAGCTTCTTAATCCAATGTTCATCTGTGTTTAAAAGTATTTTATCAGGTGGAGTCAGCTTTTTGTAAAATCCCATTATTTTTATGTCTTTTTCATATCTTGTTTGAATTTGCAAATAGGATCATCATGTTAAGTGTCATTAGAAGTTTGTGAACTTCTAATGACAGACTTTTTTGTGTGTGTTCAAAACATCCTTTCAAAATGTTCACAGACCCCAAATATTCAGGACCCTTCTTTTACTGTAAATGTTTTAATTTATTGTGTCCGATTATGGAATTGGTTTACAGGTGAAAAGTCAGTTTAGGGCAGTTCATAAATAAAAACTATTGAAAATTCCATTGAGAAAAGAGAAAAATTAGTATAAGGCTTGCAGTCTTGAATGAAATAATTTGCAAATTAATTTAGAGTTTGTTGTGGCCACAGAGAATCATAAAGATCCACAATTCCCATCTGAAAATCAACTGAGTTTAAAGATATCTATTTTTTTTTGTATTGTGCTTTCCAAGGTATGGGAGAATAACTTTGTTGATGACTAAGCCCAAACTATCCAAATTTCTTTGTTATTAAGGGAAGAAAACCCTTTGAAGATGGATCTGTGTTTTCAAAGTCCTTTACTAAACACAGAAAACTTACACTTTGAAGATATCTAATGCAGATTTAAAAATCCAATATTAAGAATCTCTCCAGTTAACAGAATCCACCACTCTTATTTCTGCACATGTGCTTGTTTCCAAATAGCATTGCAAAGCAGAAAGGACACACGATTAGAAACAACCTTTCAATCATGCTTAGTTCCACAAATAAGGCCATCATCATGGCTTTGCATATTGTAGCAATTCAACTATTACAGTTTGCAAACCATAATGCATAATATATGTTGCATGAAGCCAGCCACTTGAGTTAAGAAATGCAACAAAACCCTGACTTTGGGTTATAAATAAGCTTTCTTGAAGTTAAAATTCATTATACCATATGGAATTCCTTTTTTTAAAAAAAAAATGAGTTTGGGTTAAAAAACAATGAAGCCTGTTTTCTGTGAGGATCTGGGAGGAACAAACTTTTGTTTAATTGTACTCAAGATGTTTAAGAAACTAATACATTATATGAACTATGTGTATTTTATTTTTACACTGAAAGGTCAAAATCCAATGTAGTTGGATTTATTCCCCTTATTTGCAATATTTCCATGATTCTAGGCATGTCTACTTTATAATGGCTTGGAAAGATTAAGAATGGTTAAAAATAATGCTAATAACAGTAAAACCATATCATGAAGATTTAAATTAAGTTCATAAACTACAAAGGTGGACAGTAATGTCAACTATTTCAGTGTAACCACTTGGCAACTATTACTAAGTATATATTACAGAAAATCAATTGGTTTTGATTTATTTATATTTTGAAGAGTTGCTCTTTTCCCAGATCCAATGGAGCACTTGACCTCTTGTTCAAAGAAATAAGGATCAAACCTATAGACAGAAACCGAAATGTTCCAAACATTATATCTAGCTTGTGTCATAATGTCACTAACAATTTTCCTGGTGATATATCTTCTTGTGTAGCCAACAAAAATATATACATTTTTATAAGGCATAAGAAATAAACATATTTTTTAAAAGAATGAAACAAGATGTAAGCTTATGAGTTTTCCTTCAATAGGCCTTGAAGCTATTCTAAAATTATTATCTGGCGTTGAAATTTGTGCTAGACCTGCAGGTCTAATGCCTCCTTTAACTCTGTCAAAACAATTCGCGATGCCAAAGGATTGGTTTTGGCATAACTGTCTCCAGTATTATAGACTCTGTAGAAGTTCCAAAAGGTTTTACAGATTATTTGGAACTCTTGCTTTATGTAACATAATATTTCTACTTTCAGAAACAGGATAGGTAACTTGCCTTTTTCTGTGGAATAGATATGATGCCTAACTCAAAGTTAGTCATGTTATATACCTAGAAATCTACAGGCAGTAATTAAAGGCACAGATCTACACAGAATCCTGCATCAGAGATAGGATAGCACATAACGTACACATGCACATGCTGTCTTCATACTCACTCAAATGCACATCTTAAACTTGCAAAACTTTTACGCTACATCTAGTAGTAAGGACTAATACTAGGATTCTTTGCAGACAGTTGATCTCCTGATGAACTTGCTAGTAGTAATATCCTTGCTTGATTCTCTGACATGATAACAAGAATTAGCACAAACCTAATGCTGATCAGCTGACCAATGAAAAAGGTAGGTAGGACTTTTTTCATCTCCCAGGGCTGCATTGTTTGGTGTTGAAGACTGCATATTATTGCCCAGATTGAAGACATGCTCAACCCATGTACTACCATGTTTCCCCGAAAATAAGACCGGGTCTTATTTTTTTCCCCAAAAAGAGGCACCAGGTCTTATTTTCAGGGTAGGCCTTACCTCACCTCTGGCACCGATAACCCTACCCAGCTGGTCCACTTCTTCTCGGGCTGAAGTTCTGCAGCTGCATTCAGGCCTGCATTTTGCAGTTAGGCCTTTCCAGAAGCTTGGTGCCTGGCTGTTGAGGTCTTGCAGAACTGAGCTGCAGATGGAATCCATAGCTCCGTTTTTGGCTGTACAGGCCTTCCGGAAAGCCTGTGATTGAGAAATGCAGGCCTGGCTGCAGAAGAGGCCTCAGAAGAAGAAGTGGGCTGGCAAGGAGAGGCCTGGCTGCAAGGTAAGTGGGTGCAGGGCAGGTGGGACAGCTCCACCCCCCCCCAGCTTGATTTTTAGGTGTGTGCCTTACCCCCAAACTAGGGCTTATTTGGGGGGATTGGGCTTATTAGGCCCACCCCCCAAAATCAAGGTAGGACTTATTTTTGGTGTAGGCCTTTCGGTAGATAAAATTTGTGAAAACCATAAGCTAATGTCAAGGAGAATTAGGGTAGATAACTTCAAAGGAGATTAAGCAAAGGAACATAAAAGGTCTTTTTTAAGAGATAGCATGCTACTAAGTATGATGAAGCAGCTCATAGATTCGCTTACAAGTTGCCATCTGCTAAGACACATGTTACCTACATCAAAAACTATATGACTAGGTTCCCATAATGCATTAAACCAAAACCAAATCATCAACTCTTTCCCATCTGTTGATTTTTTAATTTATACTTTAAACTTTGCCTGCCATTAGTCTTTTAAACCTCAAGGTCTACCTGTTTCCTTATGTACACATTTTCTTTCACTCCACTACAAATGGATTCATCATTGACTGCAAGAAGAAATGCAAAACTGTTCTTTGTAGAGTTCCTCCATTCCTTTATCTTTCGTTGTGTCTTATGTCCTTCTTTTGATCTTTGGGTTAAAACAGTTAATTTAGAAAGTCCAGTCAAATCCTTTCCTAGGCATGTATTTTGTTTTTGAGAGATAGTTTGATGTAGTGGTTAAGGCTTCAGGCTAGAAACTGAGAGACCTTGAGTTCTATTCTTGCCTTGGGCATGAAGCTAGCTGGGTGACTTTGGGCCAATCACTTTCTCTCAGCCCTAGGAAGGAGTGCTTTACAACTTCATTAAGCCAGCAAAGTATAGAGAAGCATACCTAACAGTGTAGAGAGGATCCAGTCACATAAATGAATATATATAGCCTGTTCTTTTAATCTTCATCTTTTCCAATGCTGTAGGAAATTCTTCGTTTAAGGATCTAACTGGGCAAATAATAGGGGAGGAGGATATTAACCAAGTAGTCCACAGATTACCATGGAACACATTCAACTGAAATAAATTAGTTTTAACAGCTAATTATTAATTAAGAGTGCCACTGATAAATTTTAAGGCCTTAAAGAAAATATATTTTAGCAGTTCAGGTTTCTACACACAATGCAAATTCAACCAGAAAGTGGCAAAAATAAATTAGTTTTAACAACTAATTAGTAATTAAGGGTACCATAAAATCTTATTTGGGGTTCTATTCCTTAATAAGTGATTTTTGTGATGACTTGAAAGCTGATTCATTGATAAACTTTAAGGCCTTGATGAGTGCTTTACGGGAATATATTTTAGCAGTTCAGACTTCTATAGGCAATGCACAATAATCAATATTGAAAGCAAACTCAAAAGAAATTGATTATTTTGAAGGAATATCATTAGATATTGACTGTTAGACATTTTGCTATGATTTGATAAATTTCTGTATATTTGTATTTTCTTAAATTTTACAATTTTCGTTTACTTTGTTGCAGAATTCAAAGGAGGCCTATTAAAAACTGGCTAAAAAGTCTAGCATGATCCAGGAAATGGTAAGC